GTTAATGCCCAGCTATGCCGATAACACTCACAAACATTGGCGGAAGACTGGTGGGGCGCGTCTTCGCGGATGAAACTATTTATAGTTGAAGTTGGATTTTTGGAAGCAATAGGTTCGAATACCAGTCGCTCGGAACACACGAAGTATCGTTGGAAGATCGTAAGACTTTGGAGCCTCGAAGGAAATATTAGGCTATTGGTCTAATTAAGCTCCTGTATCAAACGCCTAAGGGGCGCATACATTTGAACAAGAGCTTAAAAAGTTCACGAAGTTGTAGGGGAGAGTTCGGTATATTGTACCGCCGGGTAAATTGTACCACCCTCATATTTCGTAAAGTATTTATTGAATGTCTGTAATTGCAACACTCAGCGATACACAACTAAAATCAATTAATATCGGCCATGTGGTTTTTGCCGTGACAACAAACACGTGTGTTTTATTTTGAAAAGTATTTTTTCATTGTTTTCAAGTAACTTTTGACAATACATGTTTAGATTGTAATTTTGTTAAATTTAATCACAGGACGTTTCTAATATATTATTTAGAAGCGTAAATTAGTGTCGATTACAATTATTTGAAACATTTTTCGGTATTTATAAGCTATATTTATTACCGATTTTTTAAAAGCACTATCACCTAGTCGGCTAAATTGTACCACNCTATAATTTTTATACTAAACAAGTTATTCACGAACGCCTTCAGATGTATATCAATAAATGCATTATTATTAATATTCAAAGAAAAAAAACACAATATCTATTAACATGAAGCCAAAAATAAAATTAATATATCTTAAATATTACAAGGTCTTTAAGCCTTGTGCCGCCACAATGTAAGTTTTAATACCAGGTTTAATGACCTTGTACCGAAGGAATGGAAAGTATTAGAAAGTTACTGCCGCAGCAAAGGTGTTAAACGCATAAGGGGCGCATTTTTCATTCGTTTCAGCCAAATGACGTCCACTGCTGGACAAAGGCATAGCAAAGGGGCGCATACACTTGAAAAAAAGCTTAAAAAGTTCACTAAGTTGTATCAAGTAGGTAGACTGTAGGAGTGTGCTGAGTGTTTAGTTTTTTTTAATCTGAAAGTAAAAATAAATGGAGTAACTACGAATGACTGTTACTCTTGACCTTTCGAAAAGCCGTCGATAGTTACTTGCCTTGTGGTTAAATGTTAGGTTTTTGCGTCGAGCTAACTGACCACTTTTCAATAGCCAAATATACAGTGACTACGAGTATTACCATTTATTTTACTCAAGCATAACATAGAGGAGGATACTTAAATTACGTAGGTAATATCTAATTCACACGTAATTAGACATGCGTAATTATGAGTAAAATAATGAGAATGAGAAAATTAACTATAATTTAGTAATAGATCTTCGGATTGCGTGATGGTACATAAAATACAGCAAGAATAAAATAATAAACATCCTAACAAACAATAGTTTAACACTTTCGCGTTGCATGATTATTATAAGTAGGCTGTAAAAGCTAGTTATAGCATGCAATCTCGGTTTATTTCACAGATGAGTAGACTCCACAATCAGCTTCGTGACTATTAAACGTATAAATATCTAGTAGTATCGTAGGTATCTCTGAATCGTATCTATGCGGGCAACGCAGGACCGTGTGGAAAACCTTGGGGGAGGCCTTTGTCCAGCAGTGGACGTCATTTGGCTGAAACGAAATCGTATCTCATGTAGGTCTAGGTCTAGTAGTAGGTAGGTCTCATTTACATCATTAGACATTATAAATAGTACTATATATTTATAACTTGTAGGAATTGTAGAAATTAAAAGACCGCGACATACTAGGTACATTCAATTCTTTTTTTTGGAAATACACATTAAAGGGTATATCACCCAAAAAAATACAAACAGTTGTCCATGTAAACAAAAGTATTGGGCGAATATCACATGCGCGAACTTTGACGTTGTACCTAATAGAGTTCTCAACTACAAAGATAAAACAGTTGTCTATATCGTTCTAATTTTAAAGCAGTATACCATTAAATCCCGTTCTAAAAAGTCGTTAATCCAATTCACAGATATGACCTGAGCGACGTGCCAGCCGAGGCTCGGGAGCTCATAGCGCAGATGACGCAAGTGGCGTCCTCCAACCTCCTGGCGGAGTGCAGAGGGAACGTCACCGAGGTGGTGGACACGCCTTTCGTGGTCTACCTGGTGGTCACCTCGGGGAACCTGGACCTGACTTGGGACACGGATGAGAAGTACGACCTGGATGTCCAGACTAAGAGTACGTATTCATACATTAAAGTCCGGCAATGGACCTGTAACTCCCCTGGGGCTGTGAGTGTCTAGTTGTCCGGCTTGATGATTATCAAGCGATTGCTTACCATAAGGTGATCCGTTTGCCTCCTGTTTGAAAAAAAAGTTTGTTTTATGTGCATTATAATATATCTTTTAGATATATCTTTTAGTATTTCAAAGACAGTCTGTTTATTTTCATGTTAAACAGTTAGCTTCCTACCACTTTATAGGTTACAATAAATACAATCAAAAGTTTATATTTAATTTGAATTAATATAATAATTTACAAAATTTCTAACTTACATAAAATTTTTCATGTTTCAGATCAAAAAGTGTCAGTAACAATAACTGCAGCAACAGTATACGGAGCTCGGCACGGTTTAGAGACATTCACCCAGCTCGTCACGGCAGACAGACCAGAATACTCGGATCAAACTCGCTGTGCTCTCCGCGTCATATCCGGTGCAAGAATCAAGGACTACCCTGCTTACAGGCATAGAGGACTAGTCCTGGATACGTCGAGACACTTCATTCCTATGAAGGATATCAAAAGAACCATCGACGGAATGGCTGCATCGAAACTGAACGTCTTTCATTGGCATGTGACTGACTCGCACAGCTTTCCGTTGGAGTCAACGAGGGTACCACAGTTCACAAGGTTGGTATGGGTACTTAGTTAATAAATTGGTTTCAAGAACCAAGTTATGAAGCAATCCTCCTTTCTCCCCTTCAGCCTGTCCTGAAAAAAGACTTGTTTTATCGTCTCCTACTTACATTTTCACCGCCTCTGGTCTGGTCTGTCTGGTTAGTGGTAAGATCACCGCTTCTGAAGTTCAGACCCAGAGTTCCTGACTGGTTTGGTTTATGGTAAGGCTGTTCTAATTCAGCCTGCGTAGTCACCATAATTTTATCTAAGTCTGTCGCTGTAACAGTAATGTTAACAGCATTGTTGTGTTCGGACAGTTGGAGCCAGTTCCTCTGTGGTTGAGGATTCCGAGTGAGTTCGCTTCTTTTTCAGCTTGACCATAATTTTCCATCAGATGAAAAAAAAATAGCATCACTATTTCTTTCCCAGATACGGCGCATACTCATCATCCGAAATCTACTCTGCAGAAGAAGTGCGTCTGTTGATCAAGTACGCCCAGATTCGTGGTGTGCGAGTCGTCATTGAAATCGACTCTCCTGCGCATGCAGGAAATGGCTGGCAGTGGGGACAGGTAAAGACAATGCCGGAAATTGGCGTCTTTTTTTTTCGCGCGGCCATCGATCAAACCTTGTTTATTGATTACAAAATAGTGTATTTAACCAAACTTACTATGACATGTATACCTCTAAACTCAGTCTGAATTACGAGCATTAGAAGTTTGATGATTTTACATACTAGATTTGCTTTATGCGCTCAAGTTTTGTAAGAATTTGCAAATTGGTCGATGGCCGCGCGAAAAAAAAAGACGCCACCTTCCATACAAAATCTGGCATTGCCATTTGGGCAATAATATGTAGGTATGCTACACATTAATAAAATTAAGGGAAAAAGATTGCCAATATACTCGTAATAGTCTTTTTAATTAAAAAGTCTTATCAAAGGATTAGATATACAGAACACTTCAATTGCTAAATTGAATTTTCGGACAGATCCAGTATAATTCTGTAACCTATTATTGATACCGTTTGCTAGAGCTCATGAAGCACTTTCAGGATCAGTGACCAGTATTTCGATATCTTGTGTAGTTTAAATGTTTTTTAGCAAATATAATTGTTTGATTTGATTTAAAATAATAAAAATGAAATGTTTTATTCAGCGACACAAAACAACACGAAGAAAATAATCGAGTGAGATCACTTATCGTTTCTACCATGTATGTTACTCCGAACTTTTTTCATCTTTTCAGGACTACGGCTTTGGTGACCTAGCAGTTTGTGTGAATACTGAGCCCTGGCGAGGATTGTGCATCCAGCCTCCGTGTGGCCAACTAAACCCTGCTAACCCTACAATGTATAGGGTTCTGAGAAACCTGTACAAGGATCTAGCAGAAGCTCTGCCCAAACCTGCTCTTTTCCATATGGGTGGTGATGAGGTCAGTTAAGTATATCAAAACGGAACATCATCCTAATATCCACTTCGCTCATGTTAGGAATCACCAAACGAAGAACTGGGTAATAAGATATTCCAGAAGGCTGAGCTTCATCATCATTTCAACCACAGGATGTCAAATGCTAAACATAAGCCTCCCCTAGTGATTTCCACATCGCCCGGTTGGTAGCGGCCTGCATCCAGAGCCTTCCTGCCTGGCTGAGCTTAGATTTTTTTAATATGGAATAACTTTTACAAAAATAATTTGAACTAACCCTTACTAAAGTGATTGAATTCTTCGTTTATTAGGTATTCTTCCCATGCTGGAACTCAAGCGAGCAGATCCGGACATACATGCAAGAGAAGGGTCTCAATACAACCACGGAAGGGTTCCTTCGGCTCTGGTCGGAGTTCCACGAGACCGTACTTTCCATTTGGGACGAGGAGCTGAAGGCAATAGGGACCGACGCCCAGCCAGTGATACTCTGGTCTTCGGCGCTGACCAAAGCAAACTACATACAGAAATTCCTCAATAAGGACAGGTAATACAGCTACTAGAGCAGTAGTCTGCAGGGCTACTCCGAAACGCTGTTTTCGTAGTTTTGAGTCTATCTGTCACTGTCGCTCATGCTGGCAACGCTTTTTGCGTGAGAGAGATGGCAATGTGAATGTTCGAAACTTCGGAGAACATTTTTCGGAGTAACCCTGCAGTCATAATGAGCGTGTTTTGCATCCTTCTTGAGTCTGAATTTAGTTGTGCGCTTTTAATTTAGATTTAAAATATGGACCCAGAACTGTTTGCTTACTTTTTGCCCATATTATGATGATGTCATTCATTTCGATTAAAAAAATTGAGATCATCTTATAGGACCTTGCTTTGTCACGTTTTAAAATTTTCAGCTTACCCGATCAATTTCTCTTTTTAGATACGTCATCGAAGTCTGGGAACCTTTAGACAGTCCTCTCCTAATGGAACTGCTTCGTCTCGGCTACAGAACTATCAGCGTCCCCAAAGATGTTTGGTACTTGGACCACGGTTTCTGGGGTTCCACCAAGTTTTCCAACTGGAGGAGAATGTACGCGTATATCCTGCCAAAGAGCCAGCACATGTTGGGAGGAGAAGTTGCTATGTGGAGCGAATATGTGGATAAGGAGGTTTTAGGTAAGTGACAATTTAACTTTAAATAGATAGTTATTTTATTAGTTAACTAGCTTTCCGCCCGCGGCTTCGCCCGCGTGAAAAAAGGGCTGTTTTTAGGGATTTCCCGGAAATTTTTCGAATTTTTCTTCACTTGGTCTTCAACGAACATTTAAATTATTCCATGGAAAAATTATTCCAGGCGTTGTTGAGTTATGCGCTTACCAACACATTTTGCGATTTATTTTTAAATTAGATAAAATTGATCGTAAATTCTGTTTTTACCTTTCTTCAGCAAAAAGGCACTTTATCATTATTATTTTAGTTTCATATGGTTGATGGGAAAAATCGTTAAGCACTTTATTACATGGGAAATACATTACAGTTCTCAACGATAACCGGGTAATATTATCTTTTTCGTGGTACAAGTATGATAATAATATGATACTCCCACTGAAACAAGATTTATCACGATTTTTATCAGATACTCGTATAGTTTAAAGAGCAATTTCGCCATTCGCCAATTTTTTACGAAAAGTCTTTTGTTCCAAATTATTAAGTTAATTTTTTAGCTGGACTGTATAGTTTTAAGATCTTTGTAATCTACGCAAATCCTGAATATTTTTTCAAAATCTCAATAAAAAGTTTCGTCAGAACGAATGTGTATTGTATAGACGACATCACATCAGACTATCATTTTTGTCGCAAAATCGTCCCTATCACACTTAAAAAAAGAATTATAGCTTGACGTGTGTCGATCTGTGCTTAGAAAACTATCCCAAAGATCTTAAAAATACATTCAATTCTTTAATCTTTCCACAGATACACGCATCTGGCCCCGCGCCGCCGCCGTGGCCGAAAGGCTATGGGCCGATCCGATGTCCACTGCCAGTGCAGCCGAACCTCGGCTCCAAAGGTTCCGCTCTCGCCTCCAAGCCCGAGGCCTTCGTCCTGACGCCATGTCGCCGGCCTGGTGCGAACAGCACGATGGCAGATGCTTGTAGAGATAATAAGTGACAGTGGCTGTATGAAGATAGATGTGATGAGACAGTGGCTAAAAGGACTTCGTGCGAAGCCGTGACATGTAAAAAATAAATGTGACGGTTGACTAAAGGACTTGGTGCAAAACCGTGAAGCATATAAAAAGAAAGCTGACAATGACTGAAAGGACTTGATCCAATGCATTGAAACATAATTTAAAAAAGCAATGTCACAGTTGCCGAAATGGCTTGGTCTGTGGCTGTGAAACACATGAAAAAAGTTATGTGACAGTTGCTGAAAGGACTTGGTCCATGGCCGCTTATTAATGTGACAGGACTGTGTCTTCGTGTTTGTGAATTTGGACGTCTACCCTTAAATTGTTTCTAGATAGTCGATCTACTTAGGTAGTACTTATCAAAATGACTACATAGGACACAGTCAAAACTACTTAAACCTACTTGATTAGGGTTACGGCTACGACTGATTTTGATTTTTTGAGATTATACATAAATCGACGTTGCAGTTAGGCTCTAGAAGAAGAAAGGGTTGTACAAATTTAATGTACAAGGGATAGAGACGAATAAGTAGAGCCGATATTTCTTATGAGGAGATATCGCAAAGACAATCCAATATCCGGATTTAATTGAAGTCTATAGTCTGGTCCGGGAGCACGTAGAATTTTGTCCAATGACCCCAAGCTACCCATCCTTATCGCTCGCGCGTAATTATGTTGCTATCGCGCTCGCACACTCACTGCGGGTGCCAGTCGCACAGTCGCGACAGCAATATAATTACGCACGAGCGATAAGGATGGGTAGCTAGGGGTCATTGGACAAAATTCTACGTGCTCACGGACCGGGCTTTAGCTGATGAGGTTGCTGATGTTTGTTCACGTAAATTATGTAATGTGGTGCTAATTTTCAAAAGTTTAAGAATAGGTTTATAGGCATGGCTGGTAAGATGTAGTAGTGATTCAGTATCGGACTGGCCATAAAGTTGTTGTGGCAGGCATTTTGCCAGCAGGGTAACATATTTTATTATGCCCATCAAGTTATATTCCTTCAGAAATTATGCCTGAATGATTTTTGTACATTTGTCAAAAATGACAAAATCATTTACTTAGGGATACGATGACTACGTCATATAAAAAGGACTGAAAAAAGACTATGAGGATATGAACTAAGGTATGAAGAACTGACTGAAAAAATATTATAAATAATGTATAGGATACTTACTAGCAAGTGTAGCAAGTATTTAAATGTTTTAGTTACCATAACTCGAAAAATATTGTTTGATACATAAAAAACGCGAAGTGAAAGATTAAAATTCTTCAAGCGTTGATAAATGCTGTCCGTTTATGTACAAACAATCGTTTAATGCAATTAGGTATTCATAGATATATCTTTAACTAAATTAATATGTATGCCTGTGCACATAAAATAATTTCTTTTGCAACAAGTCGTTAGTACATTTTGCATTAGTATTTAATTGTCTGTGAATGTTAAAATATTTATTTGAGATTAATTAATGTCAAGTAAAGATTTAAAGGCTTGTTACCTTAAGTTTTATTGTGATACTTTACAATAAATATGTTTATTACCAATAATTACGGTATTGTAACTTTGTTCAATAGAAATACATGGTGCTATTAGAACTAAAGGTTTTATTTATTTTATCCTACCCACATTAGCTAAAAGTCCAGTTGAGAGCATCAGTATAGATCATGCATAAGTATGCTTGCCAAAATAATTAAAACGTATTTAAATGTTTACTTCATTTTTACTTTATTGTGATAAATAATTATTTACATTGAATGTACATTATAAAGCATTTTACAGCTGAAAATTTTGATATTATTATAACATAGAGTACGTAGTGCTATCAGAACCTAAAGCGTTTACACTTAACTATCTTACGAACTATAAAGACCCTTTTGAAATAAGTCCGGATCATTGCTATGCATTTGCTATCACATTTTACAATGCTCAAAAGTTACACACTTAAGTTTTACAAACTAATTTATTGAATAGGTATGTAAAATACTTATCTAAAACGTGTTAACACGTCACTTCCGTAATTTACAATTTAGTAATGTAGGTACAAGGAATGTATTACAGTAATTTTGTATTATTAAAAGTTGTTGAGAATAATAATAAATACTAAACGATGATAATACTGATCTAGCTAATTAAAATAAAAAACAGAGCGAATAACTGGATTGCAAAAGTGTTGATTTATCAAGTTTAGATTCGATTGAGTGGTTATGTGTTCGAAATGATGTAGCTAAGGAAAATTGTCGGCCATTTCCAATAGGTAACTTTACATGGGCAAATTCCCTTTGTTAGAAATATTTCTCTCAACATTCTTCACCGAACCAAGACTCAAATCATTCGGCACCAGTTCATGTAGCACGGTGTCACTTCTGAAAATGCTCGTGGCTATTCTATTCGCCAGTCTCTCAGACTCTCTCAAATCGTCATCTTTGGACGAGTGTGACGTCAGATCTATTTCTGTATCACTTTCACTATCGCTCTCCTTGTCATGGCGAGGTTTGTAGGCTAAGTTCTGAGGCTCATCAACTTGGTGTGACATTGGTGTAGCACACGGACAGTTCTTGGACATCCTTAGGTCTGTTGGGACGATCTCACTGTTGTCCATTGGTGGATTCATCATCATAGGTGCGAAAGGGAAGGGCTGTTGCAGAATTCTTCCATCCTCGTTTCCGTACATTGGTGGTGGCATGTCGTGTACTGCTGGAGGCATGGTGGGCATCGGTTCAGGCATATTGTTGCTGTGGAGGTAAGGGTCTTGGCGTGGTGATTTGAGTTCCCTGTTTTCTAACGGTGGAGGCTCAGGCGAAGACTTTTCTGAGGGTGATTCAGGCCCTTCTGGTGATGAATCTGGTGGTTTTGCGTGACCTAGAGATTTTTGTATAGTTTATTTATAGGCTCATTAAGAAACTATTTTTTATAATAAGTATTACTTATTTAATCATAAGGCACCAAAATAGCCTGGTGTCAACAGATAGAAGTGATACCTGGATTCCAGCCAGCCAGGTAGAAGAAAAGTTTCCAGCCCGGACAGACGCATCCTCAACGCATTTTTAGATGCACCCGCTTGCACTATATTGCTTACTGATTCTATACCTACTCATACATGATTATGAGAAGTAAGTATAATACCTGGTAGGGACAGAGGAGGAGACCCCAGTCCCAAGCAGCGCATCCTCCACGCGTCCTGAAGAAGTTGGAGACGCGCTTGTTTGCGCCACTTGGCTCGCCGGTTCTGGAACCATACCTGGTGACAAAGTTGTCAATAAATTACACGTTTATCTAACGAGATAAACGATTACAAAACGAGGGTAGTTCGTTATACGTCATATCTTTGAACAAGCGCTGCTTTCAGGAAACTTTGCAATCAAAGTTATTTACTTTACATTGTTTACAATCTTGACGAACTTCATAATCTTATCAGTATTAGGATAACGACTATCTTATTACGAGATCTCACCGAAGCGCATCTGCTAAGTAAGAACGTTAAACTACCTTTAAGTAGGTACTCATTTAGAAAACCATTTCCAATAAATGAAAAATACTTCAAATAGAATTTTCAGCCGTTGCAAGGTTCGAGCCGCATATAAAATCTGATACAAAGTAAAATTAATAAGGCGTTTTCAATTATCCACATCACCATCTGTGTGAGTTTTGTATCACTTTAAAATCTTACTATTCCTCCTACAAAACGAGCCTTTCTATTTCATATCTTCATTGTATCGTAACTAATTTACTTTACCTAAGGAAGTTTCGTTACAATAGTACTAACTAGTAACTAATAACTAATATAAACTAATAGAGTAACTAGCTCTGTCATCTAAGACTCATTCTCTACACACAATCTAGGTAGGTACATAAATTGGAACCGTTACATACTTAGCTAACTACATAAACATAATGTACCTACATACCTACACATTATTCTTAGTTATATTGGAGAAAACTTAATCCTTACCAAGTAAAGCAATGCTTAAATACGAGTAGTTACCTACTGCAACTCCACAAAAAGCATTTCATTAATACCTATTGATGATTTTTAACAATGATTGTTTGAGTTGAATGATTGATTGTTATAGTTTCGTTTTGCATAGGAACGGAAAAACGGGCTTATGGGAGATCTAATTAGGCATGATTCAATAAGCCAATAGAAGCTAATCTTCATCTATAGATGATAAAGGTGTATATCATCAGCTTCCAACGCGTTGGAATGCCCCTCAAGCTTTTCTTTTGATAATTTACCATAAGTTTTATTTTGTTAGGAAAAACGAGAAGTTGCAGCGGTAGAAACAAGTTATTAAGGTAATATTTTATTCTATTCTTTTACTGTGTTAAGAAATTAACAAGTTACTCGTGTGTTAATTTTGTAAGCCCTGATGAAAATTGTAGTTAATTAAATAATTACAAAGCAACATAGCCTGCCTAAAGCCCGCCTGCCGGCCGGCGGCTTAATTTGGATTTTGGTAAAAAAATCTATCTGTCGTAGCATCCATCTGCGCATTCCGGTTTTAGTGTATCAATATCCGTTTTCTCCAAAATAAAATTAATCCAAAGTTTATTTCATTTACCTAACTGTTAAGTCATCATTACATCTGCGAGTACCTAACACACATAACTTTATTTTGTAAAGAAGACTAAAAAAAAATCGGAAATTATAATATTTGCACTACATCATAATTATTATAAATCTTCGATACTTAAATAGATATGACCTATTAGATGTAGGTAAGAAGTGCCTAAACTTTCAGCGGTTAGACGCTACCAGTCATTTTATAAACACAACACCCCTTGAACATCCTAAATTAATATTACTGCAAATGCAAATTGCAACTTAACGCCCTTTTGTTTCCTTCCGTCGGAATCTCTAAGTAGTTGAAATAGATAATGCCATAACATTTTCTAATTTAGCTTGAAATAACTTCTGCGTAACCATATTAAAATTAAAACTTTACTGACCACAAAAAAGAGATAATGCGAGTCTCATTAAAGTCATAGAACAAAATGTATCAAGTTTAGCTTTTCCTTATAACATACAAACAATAAAATAAGTTGCTTTGTTTGCTTGTTGCTTATGCTTAGTGGAGCTTTACGTTATATTTTTTTAATGACTGAAATTAACTATTTAGGTAAATAGATCTTTGATAATTTAATATATTATTTTTTCAGTTATTTAATTAGTTCAAAATCAATAATTCTAATTTTATTAAATAACCCACTTACTTGAACTCTTGCTTCTGACAGGCTGATTCTCAGCGCTACCTCCTCTCTCAAAAATACATCAGGGTAATGAGTCTTCTGGAACAGGGACTCCAATTCGCTGAGCTGCTGAGGAGTGAACGTGGTCCTATTCCGACGCTGGCGCCGTCTCCCAAACATATACTCCGTCAGCAAATCCCCAGGAAGAGGAGACAGGTACGGACCCGCCATTTTAAATAACTTTACAGCATGTTTCACAAAACTCGGCAAGAAAATCTCAAACTATCGCCGATAAAATCACG